CTAATGGACAGACTAAGTCATTCAGTCTTCATCCAAGGGAGAGGGGTATCATAGGGACTTTTTACTTTGGAATATATATATATATCTCAACTATATACAAAAATAGAATAGTAGAATGAAGTCCCATGAATCCTCCTTCTGGTTTCAACAACTACCCATTTATGGACAAACTTGTTTTATCACTTTCTGTCCCTAGATTGTTTTGAAGGAAATCCAGACATTTCATCTCATCCATAAATATTCCAGTATGCACCTCTAAAAGTTAAGAACCACCAAAAGATTGGGGTGCCTGGCTGGCTCAGTTGGTGGAGCATGCAACTCTTGATCTCAGGGTTGTGGGTTTGAGCCCCATGTTGGGTGCGGAGATTACTTAGAAAAAATAAAATCTTAAAAAAAAAAAAAAAGCTCTTGGGTAAGGAACCAATGATCAGATCATTTAGGAAGACTACCCCGAAAGCAGCATGAAGTTTGGTTTTGGGGAGATGTACGCAGTAATAAGATACAGATGACAATTACGGCCATTCCAAAAAATGTTTATTGGTACCTATTATATGCCAGGCATACAGTAAACACATCACCCTGTCTGTAAGGCCTTTACAGTGTCATACAGGGGTTCACAACCTTGACTCTGTTGATGCTTTTGAGCTGGATAACTAACTCTTTGTTGTAGAGGGCTGTCCTGTGCATTGTAGGATTTTGAATAGCATCCTTGGCCTCTACCCACTAGATGCCCATAGCCAACCCCTCCACTACCCATTGTGACAACCCCAAATGTCTCCAGACATTTCCAAATGTCCTGGTGGGGTGCGGGGTGGGGGCAGAAATCACCCTAGATAAGAACCACTGATCAAGTGGAAGGGTGCAGATAAGTGACCAGGCAATTGCAGTGAATGCCATAAATATTGAAAGAACCCAGAGAAGGGGATTGTTTATAGTGAAGTTAATAAAAACTATGTTAAAAGAGATCTGCACAGAGGCCTCTCTTCATCTCCCTATCTCTCCCTCTTTGCCAAACACCAATAGATGTGGGTACCGAGTAGGCACCTTGTTTCCTTGCGGGCCTGCTCGATCCTACCATGTTTAGGAGAACTGAATTGAAAGCTGGAAGCTGAACGCTGTGGTCAGTTACTCACGCATAACCCCAGAAATATCCCATCTATGAAAACCATGCCTAACCATCTGAGGAGGGAAATCTGGTTCTAGAGGCACACCGAAATTTGCTCGAGTATATGAAGAGATTTAATTCAGAATGTTGATTATAGTTTGTTCTTTCTGCAAATAAATCTCTATTGTTAACATTCTCTTTGCAACAATAGCAAGGGTTCCTTTCTTAACAATTTTACCCTTAAACCAAAAGTAAATATTGCTGTGTTCCCCTGTTTTCCTTTCAGCATGCCAGCTCGATTATAGGGTTCCAGTGGAGATCAGACTCCTTTAGTCATACACAGGGGTTATTGGGAATTTTTGGAACAAAAAAGAGGATAAAATCCTATAACCTTAGTGCTGCAGCTTGTACTTGTTATTGTTTATGGAGGAACTTCACCCAGGGGAAATAAGCAACAACTGTTTCTATTTAGCGCTGAGAGAAGTCCCCTATTTGGGGTGGGGGAGAAGGATTAGATCATAGCATAAGTCCATTAAGAAGTTTAAAACAATGCCATCCATCACAGAGGCCTTGCTCTAAAACCCACATTCTCACATGTGAGGTCTCCTTAAGGGAGAGTCATTATTTAAAACCACTTAGGGATTCTGAGTGACAAAATTCAGCCATGGGTGGTTGATTGGATGGAACTCTTCCCAGAAGTGTGTATATTTCTCACATGGTGAACACTATAGAGACCTTTAAATGCCTTTGGACTTAGTTCAGTGAATCCAACCACTGCTTCTTGGAAGTAGAATTTTGTGGTTAGATACCCCTACTTCATAGGGTTCTCAAGAGTTTAAAATGAGAAAATCTAAGCGAAGGCTTTTTGTCAGTTGTAAAACACTACACACATGTATAAATGGAAGGCATCACCATCATTATTTTATCTCTGCCACTAGGCTGATGGGACCAAACCCACTGGAGACAGTCTCTTGTGTTATTTTGTAGTTGGTGAGTGTTATGCATACTGAAATATATTTTCTTAAAAAAAAAAAAGATTTTCTTAAAAGCTTTCACAGTTATTTTAATTTTAGTAATTTTATTTAAGTACAACCTGCGCCACCACATTGCACAACTCTGGGGGGCACCATTCCATTGTGGTGGCTTTGCTTCATCCCGTAGCATTCCTTCCCCTAGAGCTGGACCCGAGCACCCCATGCTGCAGGAATGTAGGCAGCCCAGCTGAGGTGGTTAATCCTGAGAATTTACAATCCTATGTAGCTTCTTTATTTTTATAAACATGACCTCAAATGCTGCTGGTTTGGTCAGTTTTTCACAATTTCTTTTGCTCCACCTTGGATTCCAACACAAGGTAGGTGTTCCTTCTTCACTGAATGAAAATGGAGACGAAAAGAGACGCACTAAACACTCACCACTTGCCACTCGAAAGGGCAGGGGCGGAGTGTGTCCCAGGACGCCGCACACTTTTTTTGGGAAGGGCCAGCTGGTGAGTGTTTCAGGTCTGTTCCTCGCACAGTGCCTGCCCTGACGATTCTGGGCTGCTCCTACAGCATTGTAGGCATGGACAATATACAAATGATGTGTGTGGTTATGTTCAAAGAAAACTTTATTTATGGAATTTATTTATGGAATAGGTTTGACTTTCACATACTTTTCATAGGTCATAAAATTTTATTCTTTGGGGTTTTTTTTCCCAGTCACTTAGAAATACAGAATGTACTCTTAGTTCACAAGCCATACAAAAATAAGTGTTGGGCCATGATACAGCCACTCTGCCGCCCCCCCCCCCCAGTTTGTGCTGTTCTCACTCTGAGTCACAAGTAGCTTCTTAATCAGTGCTCCCCTGCTAAGGACAGAGCAACACTCCCCAGTCATGTAGCCTCTGAAGCAGAATCTGGAATTTGGGTTCAGCCCCTGCCCTGATGCTTTCCAGCTGTGACCTTGGGCAAGTCACATGATAGCAGAGTCTCAGGATGCTCGTTTGTAAAATAGTGATAAGAATTCTTTTTCTGCCTCTCTCACAGGGCTGGTGTGAAACTCAAATGAGATTTGAACATGAAAGCATTATAGAAATGTCAAAGCATACAAGCACTGTTGTATAGCCTTGTTCCCAGCTCCCTCTGTTGTCTCCATTGTCAACATTCTAGTCATCCTTCACCGATTTCCGGCAGGCCTGTTCCATGCTAGGCTGAGCCCTGGGATGTCCAGATGAGTAAGAACTAGACCCTGCCCTCCAGGCAGAAAAGAATCTAGAGAATTACGATGTGATGGAGTATATGTAGGACAACCGGGGGGCGGAATAAGCCACATGGGTAGAGACTGGCCCTGCTGGGGTGGAGGTTGGAGGGAGAGTCAGAGAAAGCCTCCCAGTGAACATACCAACAAAGCAGGTCTGAGGGAGGAGGGTATTTCAGGGGATGGCCTGCAAAAGTATGATGATCAGAGCAGCACAGAGAATTTGGGGAGCTTAAGTAGGTATGAGGAGCCCAGCATGGGTGAAGGGCCCATTAGGAAAGGAGGCTAGCAACAGGTTGGTAGAGAAGGAAGACAGAACTTTTGTGTGCCAGGCTGGAGTTTAGATTTTTTTCCTATGAGTGCAGGAAGTCATGGAGCAATTTAATCAGGTCAATAACATCATCAACTCTGGGCTCTGGAAAATTCACTCCGAGGGGAAAATATGGAGGAGGAAATATTTGGGGCAGGAGCAGGGTCAGTGGGTGGAAACAAGGAGACCAGTTAGGAAAGCTCTGTAATAATGCAGATGTATGATGAAAAGATGCTGAGTGGCACCTGGGTGGCTCAGTTGCATCCAACTCTTAGTTTCGGCTCAGGTCATGATTGTGAGATTGCCCGTCAGGCTCCACTCAGCACAGAGTCTGCTTGTCCCTCTCCTTCCCCCTCTGCCCCTCCCCCTGTGTGTGGGCGCGTGCTCTGTCACTCACTCAAATAAATAAATAAATAAATAAATAAATAAATAAATAAATAAATTCTTGGTTTTTTTTTAAAGAATTTTTTATTCATTTGAGACAGAGAGATAGAGAGAGCGTGAGCAGGGGGAGAGGCAGAGGAAGAGGGAGAAGCAGACTCCCTGCTGAGCAGGGAGCCAGACATGGGAGTTGATCCCAGGACCAAGATCATGACCTGAGCCAAAAGCAGATGCTTAGCCATCTGGGCCACCCAGGCACCCCTAAATTCTTATTTTTTAAAAAAGGAGTTGAACTATAGGATAATAGCATTAAGGAAAGAAGAATAAGGACGCTTTTACAAAACTTATGTACATTTTTTCAAAGATCTTATTTATTTATTTATTTACTTACTTACTTACTTATTTATTTGAGTGAGAGAGAGAGAGAGAGGAAGAGGCAGAGGGAGAGAGAATCCAAGCAGACTCTGCTGAGTTGAGCATGGAGCCTCATGCAGGGCTCGATCTCACAACCCTGAGATGATCTGAGCCGAAACCAAGAGTCAGATGCTTAACCCACTGAGCCACCCAGGCACCCCACAAAACTTGTGTACATTAAAAGAATTTTTTGAAAGTGGAAAAACATCATGAATACACTGGAGAAATATGGTATTTAAAGGTATTGAATCCTCTTGTAAATAAATATAAAGGTGTACACACACACATACATGCTGTCAGACTCAAATTCCTTAAGTTTGCCTTCAAGTTTTCTTCAGATTGGAGAGCCTGTACAATTGATTGTTGACAAAGTACAATGCTTAACATTTCTGAGTAGCCCATGTTACAGTTTTGACATCTAAGGAGGATAACTGACAAAGATCTCACAGAGTATTAACCAATAGGAAAGTGTCAATCTCTGCTGAGATTGTGATGAACTTTTGCTTAAAACTTGGTTTCTCTGTGGAATGCATCATCATTTTTTTTTTTTTCCAGAAACAGGTCCAAGCATTAAGGAACCGAGTCCAATTTCTCCACGTAAGTCTTCATGCATCTATTTCGAAAGGAAGCCTCCTGGGCTTTTTATAAGAATGAGTTGGTTATAGAGCATTTGGCAAACTTTGAGTTTTGATAAGAAGATCTCTGCTCTCATTCCCTGTCTCCCCCTTTTTTTCATAATCTCCTACTTTTTCCTTTCCTCTGTCCTTCCTTCATCCTCTTTCTTTTTTCCTGTCTGCCACTTTTAAATGTGAATTGGTGGACCCACTGGCATGTGTGGCCTTAATGGGAAGGTAGTAACTTACTTAGCTTTAGAGAGAGTTCATTATTTGTATACTTCTACCAGTTGTGATCTAAAACCGATAAATCACAGCTATGGGAGTGGTTTGCTTTACTTGTCATCGATAGTAGTTACCTGCTCAGGGAAGCAGTGCTAAGGGAACTAGTTGCTGTCTCTTTGAGACGATCTCTAGTCCAGTGGGGGTGTGCAAGGAAAGGGGAGGAGGGGGGACTTGTAAGAAAAAAAAGAGAAGAGACCAACTACTACAGAATGATGCATTGGGATTTGTCTGAGCCAATTTTGTCACCATACAGAAGAAAATTCTGACCAAAAAATATTCCGGTGACTTACCCGTGGTTATAATTGGCATTCAGGCAGGACTATAACCTGGGCTTTCTGGCTTTGCACCCATAGCTCTTCTAGATGGTGTTGCCTTGTGGGGAGAATCTGTGCTTTTTTTCTTTCCTACAACTCTCTAGGTTAGTCTCCATGGCTCACCTCATACACATAACAGTCTGGCGAGTTCCTTTATGCAAAGCACTACACTGTTACAATTAAGTGTCTTACTTCAACAATATCACGAAAGAGTATCATGAACCCACAAAGAGACACATGTGGATATATTTCTTTCATACTGACCCAGCCTGATTTTCATAAATGACATCTCCATTTTTAGAATTTCAGAGGAGTTTTCCTCAAAACTTTCAGTGGTGCCCCATTTTTGCATCTGTAAGCATAAAAAGGCAAATCATCTTTTAATACCTACAGACTAAATTAAGTGGAATGTATGGTTTGGTTCGTCTTAACCGCCAGAGTTCTTCCCAGTTCATATTCCTTCCTCGGAATCCCCAAACCTTCTCCAAACTCCTTTTGTTTACTCCCTGCCTTCGGCAGGTGAAGCAATGCTATCCCCATTTCCAGAAGTTGACACACCAAAGGGCATATGGCTAGAAAAGTAGCCACCAGGACTTGGAAATTCCAAAATTCCAAAATCTTTGGCAGCATGGCATACTTTTCCTGAGCCCTTACAAGTTCTGGGGCTGCTCGGAGGTGGGGAGGGGGGTGTCACATTTGTCCATACAACCAGATATTTTACACTGAAGTAAGATGAAAGGCAAAGAGATTCAATTTACATAGAGATCAGCCGGAGTTGCTTCTGACTCAAGAGGAACATAGAAATGCGATTGAGATAGTAGGGAGATCCTACACCCTAAATTTACATTTAAAAAAATAGACACCCTAGAAATTTTATTCAATTGAAAACCCTTTCTCTTGGAAGCTGATTTTAACTTCTTATAAGTGATTCATAGAAGGTAGTTCTCTTAAATGAAAGGAAATGTTCTATTTCTGTGGCCTGGAATTAATTTCAAATATAAACATCTTTGCCAAGTGGAGGAACAATTGGTTCTATTTATATGTTTTGCTGACCATAAAACTGACATAACTCCACATTGAGAAGTATTTCCGTCCCCCTCATAGAAAGATCATGGTTAGAAGAGTGTTAAAAAGTAGGTTGTTTTAAATGACACAATACAGAATTGTTAGGATGGAGGGTTTGATCTGAGGGGACCAGCAAAACATTAGAATCTATAGGAATAGTTGATCCTTACCTATGTTTCCTCCTTGTCCACCCCCTATCTTCCTATTACCTCTCATACCTATAAATGTCCGCGAAAATGTATTTGTAGATTATTTGAAATGTGTTTTCTTGTCTCGTTGTTGGAGGTGTTTGATGAATAAGAAGCAATGTGCCACATTGCGATAATGGGAGCTCACTTCATTTTCCAAAGCATCTTTAAACTGAGGATGCAACCTGAGTCTATCTTGGAAATCTGATCATTTCATTTTTCTTTTGAGGAAAAAAAAATGTGCAAGTTTTAAAGACATTGCATTTGGTTGGGATTCTCATTTTGTCCTCATTTTCTTAGTCCGTGCCCAGCCTTCTTGACAGTGCTTGTGAAACAAATACAAAATTGCAACATCTGGTGCAGACTCACTGAAAGTATGTACTGGCTTCCCTTCCTTATAGCAGTTTTCCACGGTCTGGACACCCTCACCGTGATGGGCATTGCGTTTGCGGCGTTTGTGATCGGAGCGCTCCTGACGGGGGCCCTGTGGTACATCTATTCTCACACAGGTGAGTGTGACCATCGAATATTAGTTGGTGTGTGTCCTATGTGTCTGCCACACAGCAGACATTTCAGTGTTTCGTGACACGGATGAGTGGATGGAATAATAATGAACGAGAGAGAAAGGTCATTCCCACAGTTTGCACATGGACATATTTGGCATCAGTTGGGTTTTGCAAAAATATTATTTGCTTTAAGCACCGTTAGAAAAGGAATGTTTACACTATGCTAATTGCAATTGAGATGTTGGTGAAGGTTAGCTACTAATAAAGCTATTCTGTGGTTAGGGTTTAATTAAAGAAAATTGATGTAGACACGATGGAAATATAAACCCTTCCCTCAACGCTTAAGACTTCAGTACAGACGTATGAATGGGCAGGAAGTGAAAAAGGAAGCTAAGATTTTATTACCATATTTGCCAAGAGGCTGAGCACTGTCCACCAGAGTCCCCAATCTCAATGACTTCAACCAGAATTTCTTGACCCTTTTAAAACCCATGCCATGTCCTCTTTTTTTTTTTTTTTAAGATTTTATTTATTTGTCAGAGAGAGAGAGCACAAGCAGGGGGAGTGGCAGGCAGAGGGAGAAGCAGGCTTCCCACTGAGCAGGGAGCCTGATGCAGGGCTCAATCCCAGGACCCCGGAATCATGGCCTGAGCTGAAGGCAGACACTTAACCAACTGAGCCACCCAGGCGTCCCGCTATGTGCTCTTTGATAAACATAAAATTCTCATGTCTTTCTTCTATAAAGTTATTTAAATTTTTTAAAAATATATTTTCATGAATTGCAAACAAAAATGGTGAAACAAAGCACTTTGTTTTCAAACTATGTTCCTCTTCCCCCAAAATTCTTATGTGCCCCCGCACCCTTCTCTTGCCCCTTCCCCTCAATCCCAAGGTTGAAACCTTCTGGCCTGAGCAGAGAACCTGTTCGGATCCCAGTACAGAGGGCAGGCCTGGCAAGGGGGTTCTAGTGCAGTGGAGAAGAAACAAATGGACTGCTTACTTCCTTCTTAGTTTCCGTGCAGATAGATATAACCAAGAAAGATATGCATTTGGGGGTATGTCTAGTGAGCTAGCTGGGCTTCTATGTCCTTGGATCCTTGCAGTTTACACTGTGAACCCAGGTAAATTGTGCTTGATTTATCAGTCAGAGGCCGTGGCAGGTTCAGCCTTTCTGTTTAGAATTTCATTAATTTTCCACTGAACCAATGAATGCCTTCATCTTTGGCCTTACCTTGCGCCATTCAACCAGACAATCTGAAAAGAAGACTGCTTTAAAGGGAGGAGAAGTACGGAAGGGCATTTTGAGAAGTCATATCTTAATCCTTACCAGAATTTTCACTTCAAATACTGCATCCTCCAACTGAGTCATTTTGGATTGTGGCAGAACGAATCCTTTTGTGCCTAGCTTGGGGAAGTCCCACGGGTCCAAAGCAAAAGTTGAGGAGAGTGTAACAGTGGGGCTTTGAGTCCTCAGATTCTTGTTCCTAGTCAGTGATGTTTGAGGGAGGTATATTTCATATGAGAGAGAAAATACGACTCTTAACCTTACATGTAATGATTCTGAGGATATACAAACCACTGTGAATCGAGTTAGGAATAGTCTTTCTTGTGAACGGCTCATACAAAGCACCAGAAGGGACAGCTTTTAGCGGAGTAGCATTTTAGAATAAATACTTTGCCACGGGAATATGGACACATTCAGATCTCACACTAGCCGTTTCTCACAATCTTTCCCCATGTCCTGCGTGGCTAGGAGGTTCTAGGGCTGTTGGCAGCTTCTGCTGTATGTTGGGAATGAACTTGAAACTATGCCAAGAAGACTCTGTAGCCCTGAGGATTTTATATGGGCTTAACATGTGCCTGCTGAGCCCTGACTAGCCTTGGCCATTGAGCTACACCCTCAAACCCTGAGAGTTCATCTCAGGCCAGGTAGGGCCAGGAAGCCAGGTCCAGCTACTGCATAGCCCTTGCTCTTGGCACACACCCCACTGAACTCACTCTGATAATCCCCGACTCTCGTGCACAGCCAAGCTCACAAACCTGATAAAAAGCCTTTATTGCTCTGCTCATTAAATTCCCAAGTTTATTGTTTCTGCTCCCTTCCCCCACAAACCAGAGACTGAAGGGGAGGAGTTTTTACATTTTGTTAATATAGAAATAGGCTTGGAAATAGATGAAAGAAAAACAAAACCCAAAAACCCTTCCTGTTATGGTTTCCAGCAATATAAGTTACGCTGATTTGGAAGTTAAAAGGTTTATAGACACTGTCATTTGGGCTCTAACCCTGCTAGCATCACATGTGATAAAGCTTCAGAATGACTTTTTACTAACAGACGTAGCCTCTGGTTCATTTTAAAGACTTCTCCTAAGGGAAGCCAACATCACATGAGTGTGAAGAAGGCTCGCTTCAGACCCCAGTGGTACTATCCTATCCAGAACTCCTTCGGTTTCATATCTGGATCAGCTAAGCGGCAAGTTTAGATGAAGAAAGATCATAATGCAGTAGCCAGTGGAGAGAAGTGTGTATACAAACACAGACTCAGTGCGTTCAATTTCTGCAGTAATCTAAGCTGTGGAACTCAGACCTTATATGGCATAATTTGGGGTTCGAGCAGCATCTGCCTCTGTGTCAGAAACAATCCTTAATTTAGACAGATTCTCTTTGATTACGCTTTCTGTTCCTTCTGAACACAGAGCACAAAACCAAGTCACATGTTTGAATTGGGGTTATCTATTTACATACCTGTAATGTGTGTTAGTCTAAGAAAGCTGGATCCCTCCTTTTTCATACCATAGCTTTGGGCACCATAAGGGATACTTCCTTAAGGCCATATTAACCCCGTTTGGAAAACTCCATTCCTGAAACTTACTTTCTCTACTGAGATGGTGCGAAAGAGAAGGAGCAGTTGGAATGGAAATGGTGCTAGAAAGGAACCGTAGAATCTTGATGCTCCTGAGAGCCCTACTAGTTCAAGAGTCCCAAATCTGTAGTCCATAAAGGTTTTTTTGAGGTGAGGGGCAAAAGTACTTACTTTTATTTTTTAGTAAAACTTTCTAGCCTTATCACAGTAGTACCCGCACATAGTTTAAAGGCTGAAATAGTTCTATAAGAACTATTGTTCATGTTATGAAGGACATGAGTCCCCTACTGCCCCACTCCCTTTTCTTGCTCCTCAGAGCACCATTTTTGATTCTTAGCTGATTATTTTGGACATTAATCCATAAATCGAAATAATAGGAGTATAATATCGCCACTTCTTATCACTTTTAGGCCTTTTCTGTCCACCTCCTACAATGGAAAATGAGAATTTACTTCCTTTTCATTCCTGTGCCCCAATTATACATTCATGCCCCTAATTGCCCTCCTATCTCCACCATCCTCCTAACAGAATTATACTGAAATTTTGGGTAGATCAGTATTTACTGTTTACATTACTATGACTACCTAAGTGCTAATCACAATTTAGCTATGTAATATATTATTGTTCCTTCTGCATGATTTTTTTTCTTCTAGAGAGAGAGAGAGAGAACATGCAAGTGGGGCTATGAGGGGCAGTGTGCAGACGGAAAGAGGGAATCCCAAGCAGGCTCCACACCCAGTGTGGAGCCCAATGTGGGGCCCAATCTCACGACCCCGAGACCATGACCCGAGCTAAAACCAAGAGTCGGACACTTAACCAACTAAGCTACCTAGGCGCCCCATTCCTGCATGACTTTTAATTTTCCCTAGAATTAATGATCATCTCCCCCCGCACACACATGAGCTTAGTTTTCTGTATACTTCTCACTAATTCATCTGTTGACTCTCTGCCAGTGGACTCAATTTTCTCTTAACACATTCAGACAACAGATCTTCTTCTGATTCATTTCCTTCACTAAATCTTTCCTGGAGCCTTCTTACCTGTTCCTGTCTGAACTGGTCACCCTCTCTGTTTGGACACTGCTATCTTCTTATATTTTTTCACCACCATTCTGGGGGTTGCCTGCACTTTGGAGTTTTGAATGGCTTGTATCATCTATCCCATGTCTTCCTCCTTCTTCGCTGAAAAGGTACATAAGAAGTAAATGTTTGTCACACCTTGCATATCTGAAAATATCTTCAGTTTATACAAACACATGGTAGATAGTTTGGCAAAGTATAGAATTTTAGGTCATAAATAATTTTCCTTCAGAATTTTAGAAGCACTCTTCATTGACCTTTAGCTCTGAAGATTGCTTTTGGGAAACTCAGAGCCATTCAGATTCCTGGCCTGTTTGTTGTTGTTGTTGTTGTTGTTTTGGTTTGGTTTGGTTTGTTTTTTTCTGGAAGAAATTTTACAACAGTCCTTGATTTAGGTGTATTTTCATACATTATGCCAGGCATTAACCGAGTCCTTTCAGTCTAGAAACTCATGTCCTTGAGCATTAACATTTTTAGAATTACTTGTTTTCTCCTGTTTTCTGTGTTCTCTCATTCTAGAAATCATTTTAGAATTGAATCTCTTGGGGCACCTGGGTGGCTCAGTCAGTTAAGCATCCTACTCTTGATTTTGGCTCAAGTCATGATCTCAGGGTCATGCAGTTGAGCCCCACATCAGGCTCTGCACTCAACAGGGAGTCTGCTTGAGATTCTTCTCCTCTCCTTCTGCCCAGCCCTCTCTCTCTCTCTCTAAAAAAAAAAAAAAAAGAACCTTTTGAACGATCACCTAATTTTCCTTTCTTTTCTGTTTTCCACTTTTTCCCTTAATTTCTAAGAGATTTCTTCATCTTTATCTTTTAGTTTCCTACTGAATTTTTATTTTTTATTTATTTTTAAAAATATTTTATTTATTTATTTGTCAGAGGGGGATGGAGAGAGCACAAGCAGGGGGAAGAGCAGGCAGAGGGAGAAACAGGCTCCCCACTGAGCAGGGAGCCTGACGCAAGACTCGATCCCAGGACTCGATCATGACCTGAGCTGAAGGCAGACACTTAACTGACTGAGCCACCCCAGGCGCCCCAGTTTCCTACTGAATTTTTACATA